GCAGCCACCAAAAAAATCCATTAGCCAGTTTCCCCCCAACCAAGACGATTAGAGGGGGGGGGCTCAAAACCCCCAGACTCCCCCACCCGCGGGCTGGGGGATTCTGGGAGTTAAGTCCACCCATCTTCAAGTTGCTGAGGTTGAGGAACCCTGCCTTATGCAACACCTGTAGCCAAGTAAAGCTAAGCACAAAACATTTCAAAGGGTTTTCAGTTTTGTAATCTGTAAGTAAAAATAGGCTTAAGTGAAAGGGCCCTCCCCAGATGTTTTACCTGCAAGTGGAACATGGCAAGTTGTCTTTTATTCGCTTGGATGAGAGAGATGGACAAAATTTTCCAGTAATGTGGAAAAAGCAAATAAGATTCTGAGAACGTTGATCTGTGAAATGGAAACTCTTTTAGGGCTGAGGGAAAATATATTGCTAGGTCACGGTAGTAAGAGACTCCAGATTCCTGCGAGTGAGGCAAGATTAGGAATTGTGCATTGAGTGTTGATGATCAAAATCAAACTCTAACCTGAGTTACTTTGGTAGCCACAGGGATTCCTGGTGAGCTTGCAGTCTTGGAATTGCTGACCAGCCTTTTTTTTTTAAAGGTGGCAGAGCAGTTTTCAGAAATAATTCTGGGAGAAATCTCCCAGATGCTTGTGAATATCCAGTTCAGAAAGAATTCTTCCTGTGGATAAGAATGAAAATGGCTTCACTGTTCAACTGGGGATGGAAGAAGCCAAGAACTTAAAGTCAAACATAATCTGTTCAAAAACCCAAGGATCAAGGGGGAAAAAACAAATTAGGAAAAACTTACAGAACATGATTACTAGAATTCTTTCCAATCCCTTAAAACATCCCTGCTCTAGGTCACACATCTGGGAAGGAAGAGGGAAAGGAGACTTGGAATGGAGCAGCCACCAGCATTCCCATGTGCTGTCTAGCAGCCTCTCTTTTATGGGGATTTTCTTTCCTGGAATCTTTTCTAGCCCCTTTTCCAGCCCATGTTCTAACTCCATTTTTCTTTAGTTGGCTTCTCTCTAACTCAGTTCTGGTCTTAGAGAATTATCCTGCTGACAGAGCAATAAAGTCCAGAGCCCTTTTACATAATTTCTTTTCAACATTCCATTCAAGATGTTGAAGAGCATATTGCTAACAACATTAAAGCCAGTAACAAATAATACTTTACAATATTAGAAGCAGAAAACAAGTCAAGGAAATGGCTGAATGACATGGAAAGGAAATGATATGGATTGCTAGGAAGAATTCTTTGCTTCTCTCTGCATTGCCGAAGAGGCAAAGAAGGCAGATATCAGGTCCTGAATGGATATTCTCAGGAAGGGAGCTGAAACAGTAATAAGAGAGGATGGGAGGGCAGTCTGGCGGTGAGATCTGTCACCCTACTAATCAGCTGGGTTGATCTGGCTGGCTAACCCCTTCCTTCCTCACCACTCCATGTGCATCCTGCCCAAAACTGGGCACTTGGTGGAAGAGGAGGTCTGTCCCAGATAGAAGGAATGTATCATTCTTCAGTCAAGGATGATAATAAAAGAAAACATATTGGAGGTTGCTGACTGGATGTAAGCTAAACACCAAGTTTAGATGGCATCCACCAGAGAGCACAAAAAGTTGCTCACCCCAAATACACTCCCTGTCATGTCTAATATCTGTCTCTAAACACCTAAAAAAAATCTTGGCCCAGACAGAGTGACCCATCTAAGCATCATGTGCTCATTCTTGCAATTTCTCCTCATTCCATGGCTATTTCTACTACTACTTTTTTTATCACTTACAGGACATGGAGATCAGTGCTGATGAACTAAGGAATGTCCTCAACAATGTTCTGAAAAAACGTAAGTGCTGCTCTCTCTTTCCTGTCTCTACAATCTCTGAGAATATAAAGATGCAGAGACTGGATTTGTGTATAAGTATCATTTTACTCCTATGATTTGTTGAGGTTATTATGGTGATAAATCCAAAAGGCTAGACCTGGATTTTTCACGTTACCAAAATAATTATTCAGAGTATGGGGCACAAAAGTAGCCACATTCATTAAGAAGCCATCTGCAAATCCATTGTGTTGCTGTCATATAAGCATATCCTACTGGCAGGTTCAAGACTGATTATTTCCAAAGATGAGTATTCATAAGCATACATTATTTTGTTGCCATTCAAGGAACAGTTCACATTAACAGGATTCCACATACACATCTTGCTATGATACATTACTATTATGATGCCAACTGGGCAAAACGAATAACAAAACAATAAGTACTATTTCCTGGTTTAATACAATGATTGGATCCATATTAAACCATAATGTAGTTTGCTTGGTTTTGGTTTAAGTATGTTGTGTGGTCTTTAACTACAGTTCAGCAAGGTTTATGAACTAGCCAATGTGGCTCATTCAATAAACCATAGTGAAAGCAATTAATGTATTAAGATAAGATATAAATCTAGCCAGCATGTAACTCAGATGAAAAATTGCTGCTTTATCTGTTTATTGCAAAAGATTGAAATGCCCATACTAACAACTTTTCTACTACCTTGTTTGGGAGAGGAAAAGATGTGAAGCAATACTGATGGTGCAGTTTAGAAGACTGGTAAAGGCTCTCAATGCTGTTTCAGAATTTCATAACTGGTTTACATTTTAAATGGCCAATACAATATTTAAGATTATATAGTAATAGAGTATCTCACTGTATTTTAGACAAAAACTTGAAGACAGAAGGTTTTGCCCTGGAATCCTGCCGCAGCATGATTGCCTTAATGGATGTATCCTTTTTAATGAATATAAAAGTACAAGACAAAATAATAATAATTCCTTGCTCTAAGAAGCTGTTATTCCACTCTTCCTAAGATTAATTCATTCTAAAGTAGCATTATTTCTTTGCAGAATTATGACAGTGGACCTACAATATAGTTATACCTTTGCAAAGTGGGAAAACACAGTTTAGCAGGATGGCATACGCAGTCAGTTTAACACATTCCAAATTAAGCATTTATTTGTTACAGAAGTACTAGCGTTAGTAGTTAAGAATGTTGGAGGCTGTTTAGGAGAGAGAAGTACACAGCTTTCAAAAAAATAAAAATAGTTGGTGGACCACTGAGATGGTGAGATGGGAATGCATGACGCTGTATGTTTGCGAGCACCATCTGATCATTTTAAATTTTATACCATAAACATTGGGGTTGGAGTTGTTTTAACTGAAGCAATCCGCATTATTATTAGCTGTGGTTTGACTGTGATAAGCTCAGCTATTGTAGAAGTGTGGTGTATGATAACAAATAATAAAAGTAGTTAAACTTGAAGATTCACAAAACAGTGAATCTGCAGAAAACAGCAAGATGAGCATTCTTTGCAAGATGGAAAATTTATAGACTCCAAACACAACTTTTTAGAAATCTAAAAGAACAATTCACAGTGCTGAATGTATACAATATTAAACACAAGCAATATGAAAGTGTTCTGAAATTATCTCAAACACAAAATACTGTGTTTGTGTAATAGGGTGATACCTCTAAAATACAGATACCCTGAAACAAATAGGAAGCATATTTATGTTTATTGCACAAAAAGAAATTATATACATAGTGGTAGAGTCAAGACAATACAATGTTAGTGAGATAAAATTATATTTGGGACTCTTTATTCTTAAAATACATAGTGTCAGCTTATTACTGTGCCAAATAGTGCAATGAGTTTTATTTCTGATAACTATGTTTTTTTAATCACTTCATAACTATTTTAGAGTACTAACATTATTTTGTTTCATTCTTATACAATCAATCTGTAAGGTAGAGCACAAGTTCTATTTCATGGACAAAGGATGATCTAAAGCAAGGTTATACAACCAGAGGCCCTTCTCTGAATTTGGCCACAAAGCCATGAGTGAGCTTATGAAATTGCTAACAAAGGGTTAAATTTTAATGCAACAGAAGGGTGGGATCATGAAATATGGGAACTAATCATAATACCATAATTCATTTAATTTGATTTTTACTTAATGTAGATTTTATTTGCATTGTTCTAGCCGTGCCCAATCGTTGGAGCATGGCTTCCTGTGTGCCATTTTATTGTGGCTCTCAACCTGCCAAATTTGGTGTATTGCTCGTCCAAAGAGTCTCTTCTTTAATATCCCACTATCTAAGCAATTAACAAGTTTTATCTCAGATGTTCCATTTCTGGATATTTTTAAAAACTTCTCAATTTGAAAATCTCTGGAAAGTTTGAACTGAACTGATATTACAGACAGATGGTTCGGGGAAAATAAATCTTGATGAATTTCGCCACCTTTGGACTAAGATTAAAAGCTGGCAGGTATTCTTGTCTTATGAATTAATCATGGTCTAGGCATAGCATGACAATAGAATAAGGGTGCAAATAGAAGAGCTGGTCATTCACCAGTAGGTCACCATCTTCAGCAGGGTTTGGAGCTCTGTTCACATATTATTTTAAAGGATATAAGAGAAATTACAGTATATGGTGCTTTCCTTCCAAGGCCCCAAGATAAATGTATTTCAGCTTTGTTGTCCAGCTCTCGTAGCTGGAATGGTTAGAGAGGGTTACAAATATTGTAAATATACAACGAAGTAAGGCTAGCCAGAAAGGGAAAAGGTGTTAGGTGGGGGAACCTGGGAAATAACAACTTGACCCACATGTCTGATGCAACCTTTATGTTTTGCATCATTATTCCCACCCCACCTTTGGAATAGGCTAATTTGCTTTAGCAGGATTTCTGGGATGGTGTATTTTTTATGCTGGAAAGTTTCCTGCAAACATCAAACTCTTCGAGATCATTTCATGTTTTGCTTTCCCAGAAAATTTTCAAGCGTTATGACACCGATCATTCAGGAACCATTAACAGCTATGAGATGCGTAATGCAGTCAAAGATGCAGGTTTGTATGGTGCTCGTTGCTTTCTTGGACAGAATTTGGGGCAGGGTCTTTTCTTGTTTTATCTAGCTGGGTCTTTGTGTATGTAACAAGTAGCTTTTCACACAAGAGTGATCAAGAAGAAAAGAAGACCTCTCTCCACCAGGACCTTCTAATTTCTTTCTCTCCTCAGGGTTTCAACTGAATAACCAGTTATATGATATCATTACAATGCGCTATGCTGACAGGAACATGAATATTGAATTTGACAGTTTTATCTGTTGCTTTGTGCGACTAGAGGGAATGTTCCGTGAGTATATTTCTTTAAATCTCCCCATGCCATCCTAAGATCCCAGTGAACCTGCTTCATGAATAGCATTTGGCACCAGGACATAGGGTCTTCCAACTGGGCCTCAGCCGCTCTTCTCAAACCTTTCTTTGCTTGTACTTTAGGCCTTGTAGGTAGTGCTTCCTCATCATAAGTAACATAGGAAAGGGTGCTTAGGAGTGAGCAATGCATCTATTCTGGCAGAAGTGTCAATATTCTTGTCCTAAAGCAAAGAATTCCTGGTCTCTTTAGCTACCTTTGCTCTTGCAGCGTGAACATTACCTGCTATTATTTGCAGAAATGGACAGCACTTCATTAGCCAGCTATTGCCCATGTCATGGAAAGGCTGATTCTGGGGAGGTTTTGATCAAACTGAAACATTCTAACCCCTTATGATCTCACTTAGACTTTTTATCCACTTGAGAAATCTACTTGTCTAAACTGGTTTCTCTCTCAATTCTCAAGCTCTCCAAAGCTACGGATAGAAATGCTTACAGCCGATGGTCGATGGTTATATAATTCTGTCACATAAGTTAACATACCTCTGACTGAATGGTATAAAGTGGCTAGGATTTCCTATTAATATCTAAATGACAAAGTTAAAAATATTGGGAATAAATAGTGGTTCTAAAGTGTTGCACTTATTGTTTCAATTTCTTGATTTCATATAGAATGACCTTCCTTATGTTTCTCTCATGTTAGGTGCATTCCATGCCTTTGATAAAGATGGAGATGGCATTATTAAACTGAACGTCTTAGAGGTAACTACTGATGTATTTACTAAGGCTTTTTTTTTTAAACCCTGACAATCAGGCCACTCTGAATAGTTTACAAAGAAGGAGATCTATAATACAATAATAAAAAAAAATCATAACAAATATTTAAATTGTTAAACTGGAAAACAAACAATTCTACAGCCCTATTTTAGAAAAACAAACAAGCAAACTCTCTGAAAGAGGTCCATTTTAACTTTTTTCCCAAACACCACACAGTTAGAACAAGTCTAATCTCTGCTGATAAACTATTCCATGATAAAGAGACCATAACAGAGAAGCATTTTCTCCCATTCTCAGCCTCTCTAAACTCCTGGTAATGGGGAACTGCTAAGAGTTTTTCTCAAGTTGCTCACATTCAGTGGAACAATTATGGTTGAAAGAGCTAGGCCTGCTGGTTCATGGTGCCAAGCCATATAGGATTTTATAGGTTAAAACCAGCACTTAAATTGCACCTGGAAACCTCCTGGCATCCAATGCAGGGCTCACAACACAGATGAAAAACATTCATGGTGCCTAGTGCTAATTAGCACACAAATCACAGCATTCTTATTCATTACAGGTTCTGAGTCACCTTTAAAGACAGCCCCATGTAAACCACAATGCTGTAGTCCAACTGGGTGGGAATCAGAGCCTGAGTTACTATTGCTAGGTCCTTGGGTAGGACCACAAGTGACACATCAGCCATAACTAGGCAAAGGTCCTGTTCCTGGTCTCCAGTTACCCATCAAACAGTAACTATGAGTCTAGGAGGAGCAGAGGACATGGACTTCCTCTCTTAGGGGAAGTACCATCCCTTCAAGAGACAATATGAAACCTTGATGTACAAACAGCAGCTCCCTGTCCTTGGGTTCAACTGCAGTCTGTTTCATCTCAGCCATACTCTAACTGCTGTTATTTTGGTGCGCTGCTTCAAGTTAGAATTGTACTATTCAGCTGTTTCTTATTATAATGAAATGTCATACTCAAGAGTATAGCAAGCTTCACGACTGGATCAGATTTAGGGCAGTTTCACATTTTGAAGGTTTTCCTGAAATAATGTCATTAGAATATTTGTATTCTAAGGAAACCACTGAAGTGCTTGCTTTCCTCAAGAACTTATTCATATTATTGACGTGGGCAATTAGTAATCATGGGCATGTATATAGTCTAGGGCAGTGTTTCTCAACCTTGGCAGCTTAAAGATGTGTGGACTTCAACTCCCAGAAATCCCCAAGCAAGCCTTGCAAGGTGGGGAATTTTGGAAGTTGAAGTCCACACATCTTAAAGTTGTCAAGGTTGAGAAACACTGGTTTAGGGTGAGATATGCTGCCACTTAGCTTGTCTAATATAGGTAACTCTATTTCCTTGCATCTGCAGTTTGGGAAAGCCTTTGCAATGTTTCATTTACAATACAAGGTTTGCTGTTATTGATAGAGCTTTTCTTACAGAAGGAATCCATTATTTAGAGACAAGTCTGATTGGACAATGGATTTTCCCATTCCTCTTAACTCCTTGCACTTCCACAAATCTTTTCAAGCAAGTAGGAATTGCAAGGAAGCAGAAATCACTCAGGAAGAGCTGAATAGATTCTGCCAAGTATCCTGGCCTGTTATTTGTGAACTCTTATCACAGTAGAAAAGCCTTTATTGAAACTGTAGATTCATATTTATTGCTTCTTAATAAAGGAACCCATTTTTAAAAGTTGTTTAGTTTAACATTGCCACTGAAAAGTACATAAAAGGCAAAAGAGTTTAAGCATGGTATTCATGCAGATTTGAGTGCAAGGTTCAAGAATATCTATTTTTAAAAAGTAGATGTATTAGGTTTATTCCATAGTGGAGGAACATTATCAATTATTAGCTCAAATGCTTTGGATGAATCAGAGGAAAGAGATAAGTGGAAATTTAATAGAGAAGACAGTACAGTACTTAACACAGAAGTTTAAGTATTCATGAACTATCCACATTTACCTGCCAGCTAGTCTTTGAGTGAACACTCCTGAACTTAGTAGGACTTATTCAGCATATCTAGGATTATTTATTTTATTTATTTCTTGGATTTCTCCCCCGCCCATCTCCCCCACAATAGGGGACTCTGGGCGACTTACAAAAAACATTAAAACTATAAATATATATAAAATACATAATACATCCAGAATTAAAAACAATACTAAAAAAGGAAAATCCAAGAAGATGGAAAATCGGGCTGTGGACAGCTGGCCACTATGGGGCTAGCCATTTACAGCCATTATATACTTTATTTCTTGGATTTCTCCCCCGCCCATCTCCCCCACAATAGGGGACTCTGGGCGACTTACAAAAAACATTAAAACTATAAATATATATAAAATACATAATACATCCAGAATTAAAAACAATACTAAAAAAGGAAAATCCAAGAAGATGGAAAATCGGGCTGTGGACAGCTGGCCACTATGGGGCTAGCCATTTACAGCCATTATATACCATTATACATTTACTGCCATTATACATTATACAAATGTGTCTGAAATCGTTTCAAAGACTATTCTGCTGATAGCGACAACTTAAATTAGCTTTAGCAGTGTATAGTATAATATTAAACCTCATTTCAGGATATTAAAAAATAAGTGATATTTCAATGTTTTATTTATCGTATTTATACAGCCGACCATCTCACACAAGGTGACCAATGTTTATAGGTGTTCTAATCCAACTCTTTGATAGAGAGTACAAGCCTGAAGTAGGGATACATTCCTCATTTAGCTGGTAAAATATGGCTTTGCAAATGCACCGCTGTCGCAAGATTTAATACACCTGGAAATCCCTATCTGGACATCAGTTTCTCCGAGTATTGGAATGGGAGTCAACAAATAATTTTATAGTCTGGTGCTGAAAATGTTTATTTTGCATTTTAAGTAAACTTCTTTACTGGGTTTAGGGGATTTGCACAGATCACCATACTGTGGTTTAAAGAATGCCGGTTATCTTGTAATACTTGTTTTCTACTTCCAGTGGCTACAGCTCACCATGTATGCCTGAATACCACCTATTTTCACCTTCTCTCTGACCACCTACTTAATCAGCCAACATTCAGTTACAAAATACTGATCTTTGGTGCCTCTCCCTCTTAAAAATCACATGGAAAGAGAAGTACAATTCAGCAGATTTATGTCCAAGCCAAAGTAACACCGATCTCCATCTATGAACCAGTTGTCATTAAGTTCTACTCAGCTGCTTATGGAGAAGTAACAGCAGCGGCAAGGCATTTTGTGCACAACTAGCGGTATCTGCCCTCCTGCTGGAATCAGTTCTCTCTTTGCATGAGCTTCTTTGCAAATCAAAACTCTTATTCTTACTTTGAAATACAGCAGGTCTTGCAGCGGGAGATATTTAGGGGCCAGCGGAACAATGTCTCAATATTAAACACTAAAACTTGCCAAAACGTGGTTCATCTGATTTCAGTAATTCAACATATTTGAAGTTAACGTGCCTCAAATATTTCACTAAATTGTTTTCATATGATTTTTCTTATAAGTTATATCAGTTATTATTCCTGCAGCCAAAGCTTTCTAAATTTCGCCCAGCAACAGAATATATCAATATACACAGATACCGCACTAGACAGAATGTATCAAATGACTATATAGATGGGTTTGTGGCTGAACCAATTAAATTTGCTCTTAGGCTACAGGAAAAGTTATTTTAGCCAAATTATAACTTTTTTCTGGCCGCAACAAACTGACAGATTCACTAAGTTCTTGGTTCTCTTACAGTAAAACTTTCATAGAAATCTGTACTGTATTGCATATAGTATAAACAAATTAGGACTTCTTCATGTCAGACATTTTGCACATAGGAATAACTGTGATCTACTGCTGTAACTACATTTGTTTGGAAACTGTACTCCCCCACCCCCATTTTAGAAAATACCATACAAGCAATGGCTCCATTGTTGTGGAAAATATGGCAAAAGTTGCTTAATAAATAGATGAAAGCTCTTTCACTGGTTGTGCTGTGTTGAAATTATGAAACAAGATTTTAAAAAACCTCTGAAAAAATGCTACTTGTTGATGTCCAGTTTTCCTTGAACAAATGCTTGTATGAATTTGTAGGGGGGAATTGCCATCCAATAAATATTTCTGCTTATGTTTGGAATTTGTGATTTTTGGGAGTTGACCTTTGAGGTATATGGAGTAGCTAGGTAAAGAATAGTGAGACAGACTTCATACTAAAGAAATATTCTTTTCAATCCTGTGCATGTGGAACTGGATTCAAACATACCTTAATTTATGATGTGTTTGTCTGGTTTAGGTATGGCATGTTACATGAACCCACAGTTCAAAATAATGACTTGCTATAATGTGATAATCCAGTCAGTGTCTATGTGCCTAACATTCAAAACCCTTTTGAAACTAACTTGGGATAAATTAAAAATTGCTCTGCCTGATGCCTTTTTCAATATTAAGAGCTATGCCCAAAGTAATTATGTTTTTAAAAGATCTTAAGACGACGACAAAATGTCTTATTCCTACTTCATTGGGAAAAAAAAGTGCTCTTTACTGGTATGGCCTCTAAATTAAAGTATAGCAGTGTTTCTCATCCTTGGCAACTTTAAGACATGTGGACTTTAATTCCCAGAATTCCCCAGCCAGCATGCTGGCTGGGGAATTCTGGAAATTAAAGTCCACATGTCTTAAAGTTGTCAAGGTTGAGAAACACTGCCATACAGAGATGCTTGACATTCAGTAAATAATTTAGGGAAGTATGTAGTTTGGTACATCCATAATCCAAGAGTTATTATTCTATTAGAAAAATGAGACATCTCAAATCCTGTACATCTTCTATGCATGCTTTGGAAACTCCACATTAGAACTAATAAGAACTTAATAATCCTTAGATAGTTTACAAAATGAGATGCAGCTTACATAAATTTCAGAAAGATTTTTTATCCAATTAGATGCTGAACAATCATTTTCCCATTTTTTCCCTCAGAAGTAAATAAAGTATTTAAATTGTTAAGTGAATTTTGAAAAAATAGACGACACCACATTTCTCTTGGGATAAAGTAAATTTATTTTGCTTTCTTTTTGTTTATTTTATTTAGTTCACAGCTTTGTAGTAAAAAGGAAAGACGAAATCATTCTGGACATATGAGCCACATACTTTTATTCGTGAAAAAGCCCACAGCTCATTTCACTGAAATAAAATAAACGGAGAAAAGATGTTACCTAAACAGTTACATCGCAGTATTTAATGGTATTTTCCCACCTGGAATTTTTGCAGTCACAGGAATCTGTTTCTGCCTTAAAAGATGTATCGTTTTAGACCTTCTAGCTGTATTAATGTCATAGTACTATATGTAGTATATGCTTATATGTTCTGTGGAAACCACCCCTCACAAATAGATTATCTAGGAAACTCAGTGTTTAGAGCACTGTTTCTCAACCTTGGCAGCTTACAGATGATGGGTGGACTGGGCTCGCTGGGGAATTCTGGGAATTGAAGTCCACCCATCTGAAAGTTGCCAAGGTTGAGAAACTCTGGTTTAGAGCAAGTTAGCTGCTGGCTGCCTGAATGCTAATTATTAACGTATCTGTCCTTGAATATATTTGCATTGTGAAATATATATCCCCAACTTGCATTAAAAAAAACAACACATGGTCATTAGATATTTAGGATGCAGCCCAGACTCTTTGAGATGGGTGCTTTGCAGCTTTACTTCAACTAAGATGTTGTAGCTTTTACGTTTTGATCCAGCCTAGCCCAGGTAGTATCTCAAGGGGCAAACAGAAGCTGGGACAGTTGCAGGCATTTGCTATTTAGTGGGGCAAAAGATGCAAACATCCAAATACCTGAGTTCCCTGGCAGTTGATGCATACAATATTCCCCCACAGCAGAGCTATTAATATAAACAAACACATTCACCAAAAAAATTAATGGCATATAAAAAACTCACACCTCTTATACCGAGGAAGTATGTTAGCATGCAGTCCAAATACATTGCATAAACAACCTGCAACAGCTTACTCCAGTGTTGTCCAAACTTGGCCACTTTAAGATGAGTGGACTTCAACTCCCAGAATTCCCCCGCCCACATCGCCCGGCTGGGGGTTCTTGGGGTGTTAAGACCCCCCTCTTTAATTGGGCACGAGTTAAGTAAAAATGGTTAATTATG